GGGGGGGGGTTGAACGTTAAAGGTGTACAAGCCTCGGGAGGAAGCCGAGTAGTATGCGCAAAAGGTGCGATTTGTAGCAGGTACGATCGCGACAAGTGTGTGTACATACTACACATTGTTTCTCGAGTAGGGTGCCTCCAGGGCATTAAGTGATTGCGCCAACGTTACAACAATCGATGGTTGCGGAATTTGAGTATTCTTTGTCGCTGGTAAGACAAGCGTGGTTCGCGCAGCGAAGAAGCATATATTTTTGGGCCAGCTACATACAACACAAAGCTTTGATTGACCACATGATGAATCTTGATGCTACCGCTATGCCATTTTACCATCAATTATACCATGCATGTAAAGCCTTAGGTATAAATGTGTGCGAGTTTGATACGTTGACGATCAAATCGTAGGAACAGCTAAAGATCGCTTCAATTGTTCGAGGCAGAGTAAGCATACAGACAAAGGTCACTTGCACAAAATAAATTTGTTTTGGAATGGAAGCGCGCTTTTGTAATGCTTTGAGGTTGATCTAGATCTCCGAATCAATAGTGTGTCAGCTAGAGCACTTTATGTATATTGAACGGACCCTTTCGTCGACTTCGAGCCCTTATATGCTTTTTTTAGTCTTTCTAATCTTGTCGTCTTATTCGTTTGGGGCATTCATCAACCTGCCACCACTGCTTGAAAACAAAATTTTTGAACATTGTATCTCATGAAGTGTTATTCAATTGCATCATGGGTCATTGCTGCGAGTTCGTTTGGACTGATCAAGGCATTGACTGATGATTCCAGTACGAGATTTCCGACCAAATCGGGTATAAAAACATGGGTTGATCCCGATACTCCTCAAGATTCTCAAACATATGTGAGCTCACGTGGGCAATCATGGGACTTAGTCATGAGCGACGAGTTTAATACGCCCAATCGCAGTTTTCGACCTGGTGATGACCATCTTTGGACATCTCTTGAAAAACCCGATGGTGTGAATGGAGCACTTGAATTATATTCGCATAATATGACTTCTACAAAATGCGACGATGATGGCACATGCTACTTTTTTATCAAATCAATCGATGAAGTAAATGTTATTCATGTTTACAATATGTATACACATCCTCCAGATTTTGAAGATGCCTACTTTTATTATCGATCTGCAATGGTTCAATCGTGGAATAAATTTTGTTACCAAGGTGGTATGATCGAAACACGTGTACAATTACCAGGAGCTGTCTCGAAAGAATCTGGAAATCCTGATGTAGCAAAGGGAGCAAATGGAAGGGTTGAGAGTGGTATTTAATATCCGACTTGGCCTGGGATTTGGATGATGGGAAATCTTGGACGAGCAATCTTTTCAGCATCAACGAATCGTATGTGGCCCTTTTCGTACAATAATTGTGAACCAGATCTCTTTGACCCGAAAAATCAACGAATAAGTGCATGCAATGATAATCCTGGCTACGGTTTGAATCCAAGGCAAGGACGAGGAGCTCCAGAAATTGATGTGCTTGAAGGTGCTGGAGCTTTAGTGTCTTCATCAGTGCAAATTGGCCCGGGAATGCCTGACGATTATCGTCTTTTTGGCATCGACCCTTCAACGGGAGATTCATCAGGTTGTATTTACTCTGCAAGCTGCAAGACGAAGGGAGCAAACGACGTCGGGGTACCAACAGCATATTACAAGAAACGTGGTCACTTATCGTGGTACCAAGGATTGAGGTATGCAGCCAATAATTATTGTTCGTCAAAGTCTGATGCAAAACAAGATTATAAAACAATCAGTGCATCGCTTGAAGCTGGGATCACTGAAAACACGTGCTCGAAACAAACGTGCCCTGGATCGAATGATGTCAATGGGGACTTGGGACTTATTGACGAGAGTGGAATTGCACGATGGGGAATTAATTCAAATGGAACATGTTTTCCTCTTTTTAATGTATATCTTGGTTCCTATCTATGCGATCCTGACAATACATTTCCAAAATGTGCGAGTCCAAGAGATGAATCAACGACACCTGAATCAAATGCCATGAGTTCTTTTAATTATCAAATGGATGCCATATCAGCTAATTGGCCAATTCACGTTGGAGGGTATCTAAATTATGTTGTATATCAACTTGAATGGGTAACTGGGAAGAATGGATACGTTCGATGGATGTTAGATAGAAGTCCATTGTTTGAAGTTCCATCCGAATCGATTTTGAACGTTCCACAGAATGCTGACAAGTCAAATCCAAGAAAAATGATGATTGAAGAACCTTTGTACATTATTTTTAACGTTGCACTCTCAAGTACTTGGGGTGCAACACCACCAAATCCAGGAAAAGAGTGTCGTGGTGATGGATCTGATCAAGTTGTGAATAAAGTTTGTGACTCATTTCCAATGTATTTAAAAATTGATTACATTCGATTGTATCAAGATGGAAGTTTAGATCTTGAAATTGACAATTACATGCAAATTGGTTGTGATCCAGCAAGTCACCCAACAAAAGAGTGGATTCAAGCTCATCTAGATGAATATCAAGATGATGTGAACTTTCATATAGAAGTTGCGGGAAAAGCATTTTGTAAAAAAGACGACGATTGTACGATTGGAGGAACAATTGGAAAAGTAGCTTTGAAGACTGGCAAGTGCGTTAAATCGCGGTGTGAATGCACATTTTCATCATCATGGGGTGGTCCACGATGTACAACAGCCGTGTCATCAAATACATTCAGTTCAACCGAAACGTTAAATGCTACGAGTTCGTACGGTCCACCGATGACATATTCAGTTACTATTGCTGGATTTATTGTTTTTGTCACAATAGCTTCTGTCATGTGGTCAGAAAAAAAGCAGAAACAGGAACTTATACGACTGAAAAAATTAGAAATCCTAAATGTTCCAACAATTTCAAACGTGGTTGAGGACATACCAGAAGCCAAACGTACTTCGTCGATAAGAGGGTCCAGTCGATAATTATCGCCAAAACTTCATTTAGTGAGATTCTAAATAACTACATCATGTCAATCAATCTTCTTGTTATTTACAGTTGATTATATTCTAAACGCTATGTGCTACAAGATATTTGCTAGAATAACTAACACTAGAAAAAGAAGAAATAAAACAACAACCAAGATCGCACCTCTCTTATCATGCCCTCCAAAGGCACGTAGTTGTTGAGTCTCAAGTTTTGAACTTGGAAGTAAGAAAACAAAAGGTATAGCAATTAAATTCACCGTAGCATAAGCAATTGTTCCAAATAATATACGTGTTCGTGTACTGTGAGAATCTTCATGAGTTAAAATTGATGGATAATTGATCCATTCAACAAATCCATTCATTACTGTTGTACCAATAGCTTGACCTGAGAGAACAAAACCCATTGTTACGCCTTCACAACCAACATGAGCAATTTCTGTCGTCGTTAAGACTGTAAATAATAACAACCAAGATGTTGGCCATATTCGAAAAATACTTGAAAGAGCATAAAACCATTTTGTACGGACAGTATCAGTTGCTATAACTGTAGCTTGTACTACTGCAGTGAAGACAATGATACCAATACCATAAAGTGCTAAATGACGCCATGCTGTACGTAAGAGTCGTAACTTTGCGTACATTAGTGCAAAGATTGTTCCTCCAGTCATAATGACAAGAACCCAAGGATTCTTAACGTAATCACTGGGTGGAAATTCGCTCCAATTTGCAAGTGTTTCGTCAATATTTGGGTTATGAAGATGAAGTAACATGCCGTAAAGTAACAAAAATAACAATACCCGATGCGTGACTATCTCCTGGCATATTTCCCATAAATGAAGTATGCCCGTATGGAGTGCTGGGACGACACCAAGTTGCTTCGTTGAGGCAGTTAATGTTGCTGTACTGCCTTGTTCATCGTCTTCATAGAGAAACCAGAGCACAAATGGAAGCACAGTTACTGAGATTATAAGTATCAAAGTACTTGTATTGAGTAGTGTCAGCTTTGTTTGAAATTCGGCCACACCAATATTTGCTGTAAGCGCTCCAAGTTGCCAAAATATTAGTATCGAACTCGCCAATCCACCACGTTCACTTATAGCTTCACGCTGTCCAAATCCTACGACCAATGCCAATGCTGTTACCCACGAAAATTGAAGCGATATACTACCTAAAATACTAAAAAATTCAACTAGACGTCCAAAAATTGCGTCAGACACTTCATGAGTTGAGAATTCCCACACATATATCGCCGAAACGCTCCCAAAGCTTAAGGTGCTTACTATCCATCCCAGAACTATGTAAGCCTTCCGCCGTGTACCACAGAATGGAACACAGTCCGAAAATAGTCCAAGGAGAACCGAAAATATGACGCCCCAATTTAGTAAAGCCGTATTGTGACTATATTTTCCATTAAAATCATGATTCATTGTCGCTAGGAGTAACGGACGATATCCAGCACATAAGATTGAGGCTGTAAATCCAGATGCTACAACTGAGATAGCAAGTCCTAAATGCCATCGATCAAATAATTTAATCGGGACAAGTTCACTGCGTAAACTACCTAGCGCTCGATAATAAAACGTGACGTCATCCAATGCAAAGATTCGATCTTGGTGTGAAGAAAGTGAGTTTGTGTCACTGGTCATGTGGTCTAAATCTTGTGCGAAACCCTCAGCATCAATTTCGTCCAACTGTTGACTTGAGAGCGTGTCAAAATCTGAAAGTGGATCCATTCGAGATTGGGACAGAGTTAAGGAATCATTGATTGTATCGACATGAGAATCGTACAATCTTATGGGTCGAAAATTTGGAAAACCATCTTCGACTAGCTCACCGAAATGCTGGTCGTCCATGATCCCAACTAGGCGAATCACAAAGTACGTGCTTGGAGAGAGAAATTGTATTGAAACAATACAAGACGCGAGTTTGAGCGTTCAAGTCACATGACACTTAATACGGTTGATCTGAACTGTGGTCGGAAGCCAATTCCGGGCAGTCGAGACTAAAAGTTCGATTTATTTGACAATCAATACACAACCTAGATGCTCATCGATTTTGACCTTAAAAAATTTAGGCCTTTCTACTAATTATTTCAATACCGTTGAAGTTGTAGTTGGGAAAGAAGATTCTATCTGTTTTAATTCTTAAATCTAAGATTAGAATCGACTATTTCTAAACAATTTATGAACTGCGCAATTGTGGCGCTATAATTGACAAAATAGCACAAGTGAATTCTTTTTTTGACAGTATGCGTATACTGCTCCTATATTATAGCCAGCAGGGTAGGGCAGTACATGTTATCTTTAATTTTGTCATGACTTTGCGATTATAAAATTTGAAGATTTCTGGTGATTTGACCCAGCAATTGGAAAATATTTCATTTCGACACAATGGATGCCACGAGTAGGCCATGCTGCAACTTAAAGCAATATATCAAAGCCATCAGAGGGCTCACACTTTGTACATTCGGTGTATGGAACAATTTGTGACTATAGTTACCTTTCATACAATTGCGGTATAAAGGTTGCAGCTTCATATTGTATATATAGATATTATTGCGACTCATGGGGATTTAATAGAGTCAGAATCAGTGATGGTGATCTTCAATAAATATCGAGGCGACAGGATGCCAGTCCTACGGTCGTACTTCCTGCATATTGCAGCATCAAATACCCCATAATATCCTCAATATGTTTTGAATTTGACGTTTACTGTATGTAGAATCAGAAATCGTGGTCAGTAGTTTTGTACTGCTTGGCTAGGTATGGCTAGAAGTCTCAGCTGTACTATTTTTAGAAATGTTACACAATTTGGCACATAAATATTCTTCTTCCCCTCGATTATCTCGAATCAGGATAACATTCTCGAGAATGCTGCAGTTGGCCAACTACGTTAGTGCACCTGCTACAATTTGTTTGATAGATAAGTTTGATCAAATTGGGGTTCGTACTTAAAACGTTCATCCCGTGTACAAATTTTAATCTGGCTTATATTATGTAATTATTTTCATCTACTTCTTGACGTGTCCGTGGCTCTTCATCGCAATACATTGTTGTTTTCCAATAATGTTGAAATTTGCTTTTTATCTTTACTCGAGGAGGCGATTCAATTGTGTTTTAAGTAATCAGCCGCGATAACTCCGACCTGCGGAACAAAACTATGCAGTTAATCACAAAGAGCTTTTGGCGAAAAAGTATATTTGGTAAAGTTCCGTTTGTACTTGCTTGAATTAGAGTGCTTTACGATCTATACAAATCATACCTCGCTGCGTACGGGAGTAAAGTCCTCTTATTTATCGCAGGGAATGGCTTGATTGTCGTCCTTCTCAGCGCAATAAGTCTTTGTTGTACACTACAAGCATGCAAAAAACCATCTTAGCCGATGTGTTGTCAAGACGTCCAGACTGTCGACAATGCAAAGATTTTCGGACAATCAAAGTGCAAGAAATAACTACAGTGCGCGCAGAAGTTGTCGACGGGTTAAAGTATGATGAGACATGCCAGGACTTGTTGAAGTATTTCAAGGGCCCTTCTAGCAAAGCAGTGCAAGGTATATCGTCTCGCACATGATCGTATGCTTATTGTTTCAGAGTGTACAATTGTATATTGATCTATACGGCTGACATGATGATACAGCAAGTGTTGGTGTTTCAAATGATGAAGGTTTGCGTCATCTCTTCATTAATGAGTGCCATGACAGTCCTTTGGGTGACCATCTCGGACGTGAGAGAACGTTTCGCAGTCATTCCCGAGAATACTATTGGTCACACATATACGAGTGGGTGCGCAAGTATTTGAAGACTCGTGAGCTTTGCTCTAGAGTGAATCCATCGGGTACTACCCAAGCCCACATTTGGTTGCTGGCAGTGCCAACTGGCAGCTGGAGCTATGTGAGTATGGACTTCATATTCCGACTCCCGCGTGAAGTACATGGACGAAATGACATCATTGTGCTTGTGGGCCGCTTTAGCATGATGGTTCATTTTCGTGCCTGTATGTGATGAGAATGGTGTATTTCTTAACTCTACAGCTTCAGCTCGCCAGTCGGCGACAGAGAATTTTTGCTTGATGTACTTCAATGTCTTTTTGAAAGTTGGTGAAATGAGATGCGAGAAATGAAAATAGAGAAATGCTCGGCCGAGCGGTCTTAATGTGCCTTCTATGCTGCCTACCGTTCGAGCTGTCTAGGTCAGCGATGTGACTGAAATTGCCGTTGAAGACACATATCACCTTCGGATTGGTTGTCTTCTGTGCAAGGCGCGTCAATGTTCATCAAACCGACGTCCCGCTCTTTACCAGGCTTTTGATTTGTCGCTGGGAAACGACAACACCCAGTAGGCGCGGGGAGACCTACTGGGGGAGAGCTGAGTTTTGTTGAGCCTTAAAGAGGTAGAGGTCAGCAGGTCCCGACCCCGAAGAGCTCCGTGCTCTTGGACTTGGGATGTCTATGGAAATCGGGCTTACTTGTTGTGAAAGCGTCCGTGAAGGGCTTTGAAAAGCCACGGAAGATCTTGATCGACTTTGGGGCGTTGGGCAATTTTGATCGATGCTCCAGGATGATAATTAATCAGCTGTACGCTGAGGCGCTGAATTCGCTGTTGTGTAAAAGTGTTACTGTTCGCTTAGCGACGGGGACACGTGTCACGGTGCCGGGGGTCCCTGTGGACCTCGGTTTCAAGTTTCGTGACTTCGATAGCGTGGAACGCTGCTTAGTCTTAGACTTGGATTCAAGGTATGACCTTGCCGTTGTAGGGCATGGTTAAAATACCATGAGGGATGAATCAATAGAAAGTCGACAAGCTTTGGCGTTACGGGCACATCTCCTGGTAAGTCTATGGTGAGTCTTCGACCCAACACAGCTAGGAGACAAAACGCTATTGGCGCGGGCGCTCGACGGGAGGTCAGCGTTCAGGAGATCGGAGTATCTGAATTGTCGAACGCCGAAGGTATATCGGACAGGAATTCTGGGCATGGCTCGCGGGCCGAACGTGGAGTGATCCAAAACCCACAGAGCACTGCTCAAGTATCGGAACAGTCGTTGCTTGCCATGCGGCATGGTTGGACAAGGTCTGAGGCATCTTGGGCAAGGCCCTTTTGATGCGCGTAGAGTGGCGCGTTTATCTACTGGACGAAGGCTGCAGAACTAGCAGCTCTTAGTCGGATGTTGTTAGTAACATCAAGGCTTCGATCGAACAGGGAGCGGGGACACTGGACGACGCTGAGTGTGTGTTCATACTGGTCTCGCCGACACGTGGAAACCACGAGGAGAGGCACGTCCACACCGTATGTTATCTGCAAGACGCAGGACATCGACTCCGACCGAGGATGTGTCTACCGTAATCGAAAGCACGCAGCTATGCACCTTCCTCAACGGTTTGACGGGGGAGAAAGACGGCGACGTCAGCCACGAAGCAATTCATGCCGTGGGTCCTCTTCTTGAGCTGAACGAGATGTTCCTCGAAGGGTTCGGCAGTGCCTTGAAGGCAAGCGATTTCGCCGAAGTTATGATCAGGTTGTGTCGTTTCAATCGCGACAGCTGAAGTCAGCAGAAAAAAACTACCTTGTCCATGACAAAATTTATGTGTTCACCTCTTGGATTCAACTCCGTTTGTCGTCTACACGGATCCCACAAGCTTATGTTATGTCTTGCTGGCTGTCATTCCTCATAGAATACAACTTCAGAGTCAGACAGAACACTGTTGGATGTTTAGCGCTGCCTGGCAGCATGGAGATCTGCTACCTCGTCCTCAGCGTAGCTGAGTTCCATCGGCCCAGACCCGCTCAACGAGCGGCTAGAATGTGCATTCCAATCAAATCGTGCCGATTTAAAGCTGGTGTGGTATTCAATGCCACATTCACCGCTTCATCAAAGAAGACGGATGCACCATGGAAGATTTACATTCTGGCCGCGCCAGTACGGAGGCCATCCATAAAGTCGATCACTGGGGACTGCACTGGGGAGTGATCGGCTGCCATCCCGGCGATGAGAGTACGCAACCCTTGGACAGAGTCTACCAATTTTTTTTTGCCCTGTCGGGTGGCAAGGAAATGCGATCGCGCGCGATATGCCTGGTTAGGCGGCGAAAACACGCGTAAGCAGCTGTAGCTTCAGCTTCGTCCAGGAAGAAAACGCTGAACTAACCGAAGTGCCTCACGTCAGTGTCCATTCTCGTGCTCGACTACAGACCTTGGAGATAGCTAGCGCCACGCGCTACCGCTCGGTCTGGCGCATGGCGGATGCCATAGCCATCTCAGCCTCTCTCACCCAGAGCAGGAGATTCTCTCCATTCTTACCCTCGGAGCTATTAACGCTCAACATGAGCGGCCTGAGTCGGAAGGTGTTATCCGTCGTCGACGGTGGTGTCATGACGCCGACATCTTCTGCTTTAAGTGCTTTATCAGAACATTTTCATAATCCAAAAACGCCTGAAAGCGCGCGCTAAACGCTTCAGGTCTTTGTGAAGCGAGTTGTTGCACGCCTTCAGGGCCAAGCATGAGACACCTGCTTTTTATTCCCGTCCCGTATGCCCTGGTGCAAGTATGAGAACTGCTCCATCCTCATAGACGATCAATCGTAACAACTCAGGTGTGGCTGACTACAAGTGCTACCAAGTGCAACGGGGCTATCGTAGCTCTTTTGCGTAAAGAAAGCTAACTTAAGATCACCGACCTTACGTTCTACACTAGAAAACCAGGATGACTGTAGTGGATCGCTATTCGCTCACTAAAAGATTACCCACAATCTTAACTTAAAACAAATAAACTCTTTCGTTCTAAATGTAAACTGTTTTTCGTTTGTTTTATTTGCGACAAAACCTTTTATGTCTAAATCGATAGGTTTACTAAATTTAATAGATAAACCTCATTAAGTGCATAAATTCTGGCATTCCAACCACGTGTTGGCTTCTTGTTTATGTGTAGTCACACCATTGTTACAGTGACACCACTTTGTCACGTATGTAACATCCGGCGGGTACAAAAAGCCATGTACAGCAGGGGCTTAATCAAAGTTTGATATGGTCTCTAGTGCATATCTAAGCGATCCTCTTTCGATGTAGGCATCGACGGCGGCAATAACTTCAATCCTAATGCGCACGGGTTGTCGATACTCTTAAAGTCTAGGTGACCTAATTGTCTGACCAGGTCGTCTGTCAATGTAGCAAGTCTGCTTGATCATATGTGTTTTGGCTGGCCTATCCTTGTCGATCATCATGCACAAGACGGGCTACGCCTTGCCAACTCCTTCATTTTGAACATATTTGTATGCGCTTCTTTGACCTACATGATTTCCCCGCTTGCTTTTTATTGTGACAAGTATGTCATCCACTTATAGTCCATTGGAGATTTAACCTTCCAGCGATTGCCCTGGCACAAACGCACTGATCCCCTCCGCAGCCCTGAAAGCCATTATTCACAAAGACATTATGTTTATCTTATTTCAGACACCTACTGCATGTTCTATACCATATATAGGCTTTTTAAGACTGGGAATACGTATCCCCGATCATTGTCGACACCCAGCGAAACTATCATCAAACGTTGTCTGTCAGCATACTGTTCAGAAAACAGTATCGACATCCAGCTGTTCCATTTGGCAGCCGCATTTGGTACACCCTACATATACCATCCAAATTGATTCATGTTGGCGATCAAGAAAAAGCCTTCCATAATTCTGCTTGAAACCCTTTGTTTCAAGTCGGGCCTTGTACCGCACAACAGTGTCATTTTGATCATGCATCTTAGTAAAAACGTATCTCAAATTTAATTGTGCGACCGTTCTTCCATTTTGACTTTCATATTCATGTTAAATTCTGCTCCTGAGAGCAATACTCTGCTGCAACGGGTTTATGCCGCTTCGCTGCATCGTCGCTCGCCATTGATTGAACATATGTAGTCGGGAAGTCTGTATCACCCACACTTCTCAGGTTTGTTTCCAAGAACATCATCGAGAATGAGTTCGCATCTTCAATCCTTGCATGTTTTGGTGCGGTAGGCCATGTTTGCCTCTTCATTAACTGGCCCGCTTTTCAGAGTTAGCTTCAGCTCATGTCTTCGGCTTGTCCGCACCCCGTCAGGCTGAAACAATAAATGATCTTCTCGAAACAAATAGAAAGTCTAACGAATCATGCTAGTTACAATATGTTTCCAGCAAAACGCACGGAAGGCATCAGCTATTGGATGCTGACACTTGGTGGACGCTCACTGTTGTCCATTTGGACGTATATTACCGGTTCTATGACCGTTTTCATACGTGTGAATGTGTTCCACTTGATTTTAAACATGTTGAGCATCACTGTTCTTTATATATCTACGATTGTTTCTTCTGCCTGTAACGCATGCACGTCGTGATTACCGCCTAGTTCACTCTCATCCGACCTATTAGAGAGGGTTCTATAACACTTAGCATTTTCTAAATCAAACACGCGAGAATCCTTGACATGTTCCGCATAACCGCAAATCATTTATATGAAGCTCCTGGGTTCGAGCTTTGTTCTTTTTATATCGTGAAATGAGCGCAACCCTACGATCCGAACAAGCGTTAGTGAACCATCTGAGGCGCTTCAGCTGTAAACTTAACTCATGTGGCGTGATGTCGAAATGGGCTGTAATCGGAGAACGTCCAATTTAACTATCTGCTGTGTTTACTGCTTCCTTCCACCATATAAGTAAAATTATATTATTGAATAAAGTAAATCACGAGCCTTTTATTAATATAGTCCTGTTCATGCGCTTCGTCATCTCATTTTGCTGAGGGGTTTATGGAACAGAAAGCTGGTGAATGATGCCGCTTCGACGACACACGTCTACCATCGTTTTAATAGCAGATTCTGTCCCGTTGTCGAATTCAGCATGTCTTTGTCTTGTTCGCACCGCTTCAGACTGAGACAATAAATGATCTTCGTAGGATGTAAGAATGGATGAGCGATATCATGCTAGTTTCAATCAAGATTTGGTTATCACCATGACCAAATCAAGTACACTAAACTGTGTACAGCCGCACATACAGTGAAGATAATATTGTTACGCGGAATCGGCATTCGCGCAGGGAACGTCTACGCATTCAACATATTATAGGCGTGTACAATACGCCATTTGCTATTTGGTTTACGCACACAAAACGTCGGTGCGCTGTGAGGACTTGCTTTCCCTCACAAACCTAGCAGCTTGCTTTTGAGGGGAGAGTTTATCAATGATCTCATTTTGTTACCTCGACAGTGGCCAGTGTTGAAGCACTGCGTACTTTCTTATGCATGTGTGAAACGTGTTGCATGCTTTTACGCCCTTGTCCAGATTTCCGGCCCCGACAGAGTGATGGCAGTCTATAAGTAAAGCACTATTTCTGTAACGGGGTTATATGTACCCTGGTAACAGGGGGGTGTCACACGAGATGGGCATGGTGTGACTGCACCCAACAAGAATATGGTATGTGGCCAGGTAGCCAGTAGTTATGCATGTAATTAGATTTTATTATTTATATTCAGTAAAATCTATACATTTGAAATTAGGCGGTTTAGCCGCAGATAAAAATAAATAAAAATCATTTCTGAATTTAAACCGAAGAGTTTTTAGCTTTGGTTAAGGTAGTAACTACTCTTGGAGTTAGCGGGTTGCGATCCGCTACACTCGTACTGGTTCTTGTAAAGAACGAAAGGTCGGTGACCTAAATTACGCTTCCTTAAGCGCTAAGCTACGGCAGCCCCGCTGCAATTTCGGTCGCTCCATTACCCGTCCGATGATACCGGTGTTGTGGACTTTGTGGGCCGTCTATGAAAAATGGCTCATTCTGCGACACCGTTACCAACTATACAAATGCTTGCTGGCAACAATTGTGTCAGATCTAGACCTGCCCTTTACAGCAAACCCTCAGCCAACTTTGTTTAGGTTTAAGGCACCAGCTTGGTTATACCCACGTTGACCGTCTCCGGGCATATAATCGGGTTTATTGCGTAGCGTACAATACATTTGAAGCGCTAGCAGTTGAAGTTAATTGCTATTGCTTTTTGATCTTTGATCTTGCGTTATCTACAGGACAAAATCTGTTTCTATTAACAATTTGTTTATTCCCCATTTCCTGTTACATCGTCACAAAGCGAATCCGATCTTGTTGGGGGGGGGCTGTTGATATATATGGCTTGCTGATATCTGCCCGGCAAACCAGTGCATTCATTTCAATGGGGTGAGCATCAGACTTCGAGTTCGTGAACGCATGACTGAAAGTCAGATTGAAAATAATTATCATGTCAATGTCAGATTAGGCGTGAAACACACGAATGTGTATATTGATGCAATTTCTGTTAAACTTAGTGGCGTGCACACTACATCGTACCGCTCATATTTGTAACATGAAAGGTATTGAGCTGTAGTTTTGAGATTTCAAAGCGAATGCGAACTCGTATTGGCTCTGCATGAGTGTTTTGAAGCCATACAACGATCCTGCTATGACTCAGGATATTGTGGCGCTCTAGTAGAATTAGTCCAGCGTCTCGAATATCTCTTGTCACTGATCCACCTGCTGCGCTAAAGCAAGAAAGCGATGCTGGACCCTCTAGACTATTGAAGTTCCTCTAGCCACTCGTGGCTCATTTCGGTATCGCTCCAAGACTTTTAAAGAGAGTCAACGTGCCTGTTAATGGCATAGCTCACGAGAATCAGTCGCGAAAAAGTCGGCGCTTCTTGATGAGCAAGGGATGGCCGACCTAAAAACAGAAACAGTTATTGGGCCGACAGGTCCACCGCAACAGTTGATCTGGTAAGGGTGAAGGGATACATTTGCCCCGAAAAACTTTAAAGATTGTGGAATTCATTTCGGCAAGAATTACCTGGAGCCCTTGCCACCATTGGCCTTGTAGATTTTCAATTTTGATCCCCACTAAGAAGAAAAAGAGTTGCCCAGCACAGCACGCTTTCCACCAGGGAGTGGACTCGGCCTTGCTCCAAGTTCAAGGCTTGGATGGTAGCTTTAAGAAATAGCTCGTGGTGATGTGCGGGGCGGTTGCCAGCGAATCCCTTGATTTGATGAGCCTTCACCTCGAACACATCATACTTAATATCTTCTCGACGTCAAACATTGAATGACGCTCTAGTAAGACGTCCGCTTTACGAAATTTAGCTTATAAATCTGAAAGGCTAGCGCGAGGATGTGTCTTCGCCACCCAGCGGCAAGTTGAGTGCAGTATTCATCAGGTTTTGCAAGCATACAGTACCCAACGTACAGTGGAGTGGATCTTTCTGACCGCTGCTGCTCCAAACGCAGGCGGTTTTCCTAAATAGTGGTGACCTACGTGCTTCAAAGCCCCTGCAAAGTAGCTTACGATTGCTCGTTATGTTCTGTTCGGGCGGATAACCCGCATGCATAGGTGTGTGGGGGTCCGTCAAAAAGCGCGGCGAACAACTGATAGTCACGACCTGATTAAGTCTACGCACATATTGAGCCTGCAGACGAATGAGCTGAACTCCCTTAGCCAGATTTAGTTGAATCAAAACGAGCTGGATGTCATCGTGTGCTCCACGGTGGGGTGTCGCGAAATCCTCCGCCGCAGGAAACGGACATGGAGGGTGTCTGAAATACGAGCAGAGGAGAGGATCAGTGAGGACAACACCTCTTCTGCAATAATCTGAAAAGCATCTTCACCTCCTCGCCGATATGCTCTTAAGGTCATCGACCGCGACGACCGCTTCTTTTGAGAGGCTCGCTGAGCATATAAGGGTACGTCAAGGAGAGGAATCCTGATGAAAGTATGCTTGCAGATGCAGGCATTGTACGGTGCAAGATGTAGAATACTACCCAAGCAGCAGTGGGTGCATAAGAAGAAGCTTTCGATGTTGCGCTATGTTCGAGAAAAACAAAGTTTGTGTGATCCCCACTGTGGTCCATATTTTGATGGGGGTAAGACAGGATACGTGATTAACTGTTATGTACATTTTTTTCAGTGCACAGGATTGTGAGAGAACTGATACTGATGTGGATAATGGAGCTCTGTAAACATCACGACATATCGAACATGATAAGATCGATATACTGAGTCTTAATTCATATTAGACTATTACATAAACAAAAGACATTTTGCTCTTCAGCGAATTCAACAAAGAAGAAGGTAGTGTTTAGATTGATAAGAAGAGTTGATGTTTAATCATTTCTGAAGACGATTTAACGATTTCTAAACATTCAAAAATGACAATAACATTTTTTTCAAATAGTGAAACTTGATTTTCTCTATTCGCATCTACGATTGAACGCTCATCGTATCTCAGATCGTTTCGCTGCTCGGGTCGCGTATTGTAACGATCACTCGATTCTTTATTCATTAAGTACGTAAGGCACGTGTGGTGATAACTATCCTACATATTCATCTTTAAAGCTCATGTTTAAGGAGTTCAGAGCTTTTGTAGAATCGTCGATGATGACATTTCCGAAGTCAAATGTCAGTAATCTAGTCACGACATTCAGCAAGAATCGATCACTCAATTGCATCTTCTATATCTATAACATTAGTCGAACATTCATGTGCTGGATATAGTGCAGTGGTATCGTAATTGACGGTCGTTGTCGCTTGTGTTTATCATAGAATAATGAGTGCTGCTCTTTCTATCAATTTTATATATTGTTTTTAGTTCTTTCGTACAAAGTGTAACTCCAAACTGATTTAACCACGCCTACTTGGCCTACTTTTATCCTAAAAACCTCACTTTTGGTCCTTTCTAGCGAAATGGTACAACGCTATGAAGACAAAATATTACAACGAACATCGACGTCATGGCGTGCGGGACAGACCACAGCTCGCGTGCTTATACGAAAGTGTGAGAACTTGTCACTTTAAAAGGAGAAGCGTACAGCTCAATTGAGTACCACATTTCTATTGGACACGTTTCTTCGACTATTCAAAACGGGGTACGTAATTGGTACTTTCGATGACGTTTACGTACTTGATCACGTTTGCGGCGGTACTATTTACTGGTAAAATTACGGCTTTACCAAAGACAACAAAGGGTACAACATACCCAACAAAGTCAAAACTTGAAATTTGGGTTGATCCTGCTACTCCAAAAGATCGGCAGACGCTTACAACGTCTCGTGGACGAACATGGAATTTGGTTATGAGTGATGAATTTAATACAAAAAATCGAAGTTTTCGACCAGGTGAAGATCATTTATGGACATCTCTTGAAAAACCTGATGGAGTGAATGGAGCACTTGAACTTTACTCACATAATATGACGAGCACGAAATGTGATGATGACAAGACATGTTACTTTTATATTGAGGTTATTGACGATGTGAATGTATTTCATGTATATAACATGTATACACGTCCACCAGGGTATCAAGATGCGTATTTTTATTATCGATCTGCAATGGTACAATCCTGGAATAAATTTTGTTTTCAAGGTGGATTTTTAGAAGTACGGGCACAACTTCCAGGTGCTGTGACAAAAGCATCAGGAAATCCTGATTTAACACTTAAAAAGTCAAGTCAAGTGGAAAGTACCAAGTATTATCCAACGTGGCCAGGAATTTGGATGATGGGAAACCTCGGACGAGCTATTTTTTCCGCCTCAACGAACCGAATGTGGCCCTTTTCGTACAACAAATGTGAACCTGAAGTGTTTGATCCACAGAATCAACGAATTAGTGCATGTAATGACAATCCTGGTTACGGTTTAAATCCAAACCAAGGACGTGGAGCTCCAGAGATTGATCTATTAGAAGGTGGTGGATTATCTATCTCATCTTCCTTACAAATTGCTCCTGGAATGCCAGTTGAGTATCGACTCTTTTTTGCCGATGGGAGTGAAAATTCGTGTTGGTATACATCGAAATGTAAAACACTTGGAGCCAATTCAATTGATGTACCAACTGCGTATTACAAAACGAAACGTGGATATAAATCGTGGTATCAAGGTCTTCGTTATGGAGCCAATAACTTTTGTGATCAAGGAACGTCTACAAAACAAGATTATGACACAATTGCTGCATCTGTGAAAGCTGGAATTACCGAGAATGCATGTACTGCTGATATCTGTCCTGCATCACATGATGTGAATGGGGATTTAAGTTTTTTGGATGATTCGAAAAGTGCACACTGGGGTATCAATTCGAATGGCACGTGTTTTCCGCTTATCAATGCTTACATGGGTGCTTATCTATGTGATCCAGACAATACAAATAAATGGTGTGAATCACCTCGGAGCGCCAGTACTGCTCCTATCAAGACAATGAGCTCGTTTAATTATCAAATGGATGCTATTTCGACAAATTGGCCTATTCATTTAGGTGGTTACCTCGATTTTGTCACGTATCAACTTGAATGGGTTACAGGAAAAAATGGATATGTTCGCTGGATGTTAGATGGACATCCATTATTTGAAGTTACAACGGAAGCATTTTCCAAAGTTCCTCAAAATGACAAGAAGAATAACCCAGAAAAGGTGATGTTAGAGGAACCAATGTATTTGATACTTAATGTAGCACTTTCAAAGACATGGGGTACGACACCTCCGAATCCTGGTAAAGAGTGTCGTGGTGATGGTACTGATAAAGTAGCGAATGCTATCTGTGATTCGTTTCCAATGTATATGAAGATTGACTATATTCGATTGTACCAAGATCGAGGAGATGATCTAGATGAAGATAATTATATGGCAGTAGGATGTGATCCTATCTCTCATCCAACGAAAAAATGGATTGATGCTCATATTGATGAATATGTTGATGATGAAAATCCATGGAAAGAAGTGTCAGGCAAAGCTTTTTGTACGATTGATGACGACTGTACGATTGGTGTTAGTGTTGGGTCTGCAGCACTTAAGACTGGAAAGTGTGTTGAGAATCGTTGTCAATGTACGTACGCAGCATCGTGGGGAGGACCACGATGTACGACGGCTTTATCTGGATCGACGAGTACAAGTGTTACAAACCTCTCGAGTCGTGCATATGGACCACCTATGAGTCTCTCTGTAAGTATTGCCGGAATTATCGTCGTACTAACAGCTCTGTCGGTCTACTCAAGCATGCTTTCGATGAAAAAAGAAGCAGCACTTTTGACGAAGACGAGCGCATTGGCCAAGATGGCTGCTAGTTTGATCGATGAAGGAACAAATAACTTGAGCTCTTCGATGAATCAAAGACCTAGAGACAATTATAGCCAAAACTTTGTATAATGCAATCGTCATGATGTTCAATTGCTTTCTATCTTTCACTTTGCCGTACATTTGGTTCATAAATCAGAAGATCACAGCATTAAAATCGCTATTTTAATGTTCGTCATAACCTTCTGTATGTCATGCTGTCGAACAAAAGTCATCTATTTCGCTCTTTTCGCACGTACTTGAAGCTTCATTTCATCCTTGTGTTCATCCTCTCTCGTTTCACGCTTTGCAAGCGACTTTTTCGTCATTTTCTGCCTTCCAACCTTTTGATCTTTATTTGATCGCTGAAACACAAATGTCTGAGAATTCGATGCTAAAGTTGAAAATTGATATCCTTCGACATGAAATTTTGAAACATCTTCAAGTGACATCACACGTTCTTGAATCAAATAGCGAGACATCAGTCCTCGAGCTCGTTTAGCATACACTGATTTGATCTTACCATCGTCTTGAAATACACAATTGACGACTGTAATACCTGCAGTTTCAAGTGCTGATTGAGATAAACACTTGAAATATTCTTGTGATGCTAAATTGATTAAAATTCGTGGTAACTTGACTTTATCTTGAGCTTCTTGTTTACAAAACATTGCGTCTAATTCCACAATGAGGTTCTTCCCCCAAAAGTCATAAAGATCTTGACCTTTTGATGTGGAAAATTTCTGACCCATTTCCAACCGATATGGTTGAATCAAGTCCAATGGTCGCAAAATTCCATAAAGACCAGACAAAATGCAGAGATGATGCTGAGCAAACTCGAGATCTCTTTCGGATAGAGTATAGGCATTTAAACTCTGATATGCAGGACCATTAAAAGTTAAAGCTGCTTGTTTTAGTGTCACACTTGGATGTTGTGCCTTTGTCGCTGTGTTTGACATGTCAAACATTTGATATCGATCGTAATTAAGCTTCGCCAGTGTGTCATTCACCTTTAATAATGACTTTACTTTAGCTTGCGATAACTTTTGAAGCTCTTCGACCAACTGATGCGTTTTTAAAAGCAGACGCGGTTGAGAACATTGAGAGATTGATGAGATTGATAAATCAAGTGTCTTAGCTGGAGAAATAACGTACACAAGACGTGCGGACGTCATCTTAGTTGTTGTTAGTACTATATGAGGAAAATATTGAAAGAAATTGATATATTGAGATACTTCTTTTTTAAGAGAAAAATGTAATTAGCCCATCGTGAATTTCTTAGAATCTTTTAGAAAACTAGTAACATTGAAGAATTTTATGGGCATAGAGAGCCGGAAGCAGAGGGCGATGATATAACTGACCGCTAAATGCATGTCTTTACTATTGGTAGGCTGTAAAGCCAACAGATTATATTGATGTCAAGTGTCAGTTTGCTGCTGGCGCATGAACTCGAAACCTTTGACGGCATTCTTCTCTTAATTTGTTGTACGTTGTTTGGACATTCGCATTATAGCAATACCATGCTAACTTATTTTAATAGTGATATAGCGTATGTATTAGTTGTTTTCCCTTCTTTACTTTCATGCCTCAAATCACAATGTCTTTTGGTTTGTTGAAGCAAAACAAACTCACGATGTTTGTGTCCAGGAGCACAATTGTGAGCTTAGCTACACAAACTTTAGTTTCGTCTGCTCGATCAGAATGAATAATAATGACTGACACAGACATTTTAGATGCTGAATAATTCCCCAAGTAACTTGCTGTACACAATAAACCTTGCGGATTCGTATGCATGGTATTGCAAAATCTTTTAATGTCATTTTAGTTCAAACTGATACTTATTCTACTCCTTATAGTGCATTATCCTGTCATTGATGCAAATTGTAAATTTCAGACTGAAGTTTATTGTCTATTTTGTCATGTCAGTCTTAGAAAATCAAGTTACGCGAAGATAGCAGATTCAAGGGATGTAATTGTACGAATGATCTTAAGGTAAACAGTGGTGAAAGAAAATTCATGATGTTTCGTAGGGTCATCTTTGTTGCTGAAGTGAACCCCCTTTTCTATCGACGAAAGCTCTGGTGTCCCCATCGTAATGTATTATTGTCCCTAATTTAAGTGTTCATGGCTCAAGAGATTTTAGCAATCTGTTAACGCGACAAGATGTGAAAAGAGTGGAGCTTGATCGATTGCCAAATCGCTTTGTGTTTTACACCCGACACACAACTGAAATGGTTTGAGCGCATGAAAGTGGAGACTTTAACAATAGACACGCAATAGTACATGGAGAGTCTTGACCCAGCACAACGGCTGCCAGCATGCCACTTTGGTGAAAAGCTTTGCTAAGATTGTACTTTTTTCACCGGTAAGGTACCGCAGAATGAGTTAATTTAGTTAGACGGACCGTAAACCCACAATACCGCCATAACCAGATCGTTTGAGCGACTGGATGACCAACTATATGTCAGAGCTGACAATCTGGACAAAGGCGTCGGCGCAAGCAGCAAGGGTCAAATACACTGACACTTATCACATGTGCGTAAATACGTGCTCACCAACTTTTGCATATTGTGTTGAGGAGCATGGCGCTCACTGAGCAGTAAGTTTTTTCACGTTGCAAGGTGCAATCTAAAGAGGTATCACGTGGTGAGCATGTCACTTGATTCTGAATCAGAGTGACAAGGACGTAACATTCTTATTAATTCCAGGCCTGGCCCATTTACTCGCACCTCACTGTTGTCTACCGCCATAAACGTCACCCTAGATATTACGCAAACAGCTTCATCTTTTCCTACCACCAAACGTTATCTTGGGACCTCAGCTTAAAGCTGCAATAGTCAGACTTTTCGAAGATACACCATGTAGACCGCGGCTTATCACCCTTAATCTTAGCTCAAGGCCTTCAATCATTTGTTGCTCGCTAATTCCGTAAAAGGTTGTTGCAGCTAATGCCCACATTAAAGACATTTTTGACTCGTATCAGATGTGGAATTTGTCTAACCCAAGTTTCAAAAGGTTAAAACGCATGGCGCCTTCAAGTCTTTGACTTCCAGTCGATCGATGGCTTTTGGCATTTCAGACATGCCATAACTTGAATAGATCAAATCCGAAATCAGGGTCTAGGGATTAGAGCTCCCGGAGGATGAAGCTTTCTCCAGCGCGGAATGCTGGTAGCTATCCGACCCATTTTGGAACCGGGTTCCATGCTCATCATTACACCATGAAGATGTTTTGGTCAGAGGGGCTTCCTCCCACCCAACTATCACACACCCAATTGGGTGCGGGTTGGCAGCGTGGTCACACCGCAGCAGTGTGATTGCTCGTCCACTTTAGTGACCTATCTCCGGCGTCCTTGATTTGGATCCTATGGGTATCGAACCGGTGCCAGACCACCACATTAACCAGGGATCAGGGTCTAGATATGATTAGAAACGACACCCCTTTTTAGGAGCGTGTAAGGCATGTCAAGCACGTGCTGTAGGGTTTAACCATTACACTCTAACCCCTCTCTACCCGACCCGGGGATTGAACCCTGGACCTCCCGGTTCTGAAGTGAACAGCATACCACTGCACCACAGGATCGGTAAGGATTTAGGAATCAGAGTCTAGATATGATGAGGTAC